GGACACAACTTCCCCACTCTTCTTGGGCCTTGGCTTCGTCGAGCATGTCCGCTGCATTCACGGTTTACAATGCGCGTCGAGGAGTACCTGACATACCCCCGTCACAACGCGTTGAGAGGGTCGTATCCAGTGATGAGGTGTACACCACAGGAAACGTCACCGTCGACGCCACGGGTCGACCTCGTGTCACAAGTCCCAGCAGTTGTTTGAAGCGCTGGAGTTTGTCAACGCTTTCGTGATGTAGGCCGCGCGTTGTGGAGCCATCAAGGCAAAATCACAGGGATGCGAGTTTTTGTTTTCTTTCGTACGGAGGACCTTGCTGCCTTCCACGTTGACCCAACTTTCATCGAGCATCTCGCCAGTCCTCCGCTCGTGCAAGTATACGAATACCTGGACAGTCACACAGGTGCGTCGATCGCTCGAATTGGCACTACTTGACGCCCCACGTTAGCTCGTCCGCTTGCTGCAGTCGTGTTCCTTTGCCGTTGTCTTGCCAAAGCCCTAAGTACTTGGATTCGGACGCCAAACAACGTGCAAAACGCATGATCTCGGTGTGCCGGACGTTGTCGTAGTTGTTCAAAGCCACCTCGACTTCCTCGATGGCTCGATCCAGAAAAATCGCTGGCAACGGGTCGTTCAGTCGAATGCCACGCCGCCTCCGACGTAATGTTGTCCCTGTTTCTCTGGTGACAAATCTGTGTACATCTCGGGACTTGCACGACGGTGCTGCATCGCATGACACAGGGGCACCCTCTGCGCCCGTCGACTCTGGATCGTCTGTACCTGTGCCGCTCTGAGCAATGCACACTTCGGGGCAGTTGGCCGCGCTGGTGAGGTGGATGGACGACGGAGTGGGTCGTCGCCGATTTCGAGTCGATCGATGGCAGTGTCCATGAATTTTTGGTCCTCGATGATGTTCACGTTGAGTGCCATATCGGTGATGGCGGTGCGGATCGTCGGCGCGATGTTTTGCACCTGGAGCGTCGCGAATGACGACAACAAATTCTCTCCCAAGCACCGAGTCAGGGGGTTCACTAAGCTAGGTTAGCCAATTCTTCTGTACTGGTATGTGGCCAGAAAACGCGCAGCGCTGCTGTGTGCGTACCAGGTCGTCTGCGAAGTGGCATCGCGTCCGGGGCTGGACTAGCTCCAACGCGTCTTCACCAGTCGACTACCCTTGAACTATTGGCGTGCATGATTTGCAGCATACAACTAAGTTCCTTTGAGTTTTGCACAGCTACGAATACTATCCCGATTGTGCCACCCGTGACGCGGCGACGCACAACGAACTGTACGAACCGGTGAATCAAGCTCGTCGTTACTCAAATCATCTTAGCACTCGACGAACGCCAACGGACTGGATTTTCGAGATATGCTGAGACTTCCGCGAGACAAGGACTCCCATTTGGCTCCCCTCATGACTCGTCAGTGGGTGTTGTATGGATGCCCACGTTGTACCGCCGTTCCAGACACTGTAGACTTGATCTGTCGTTGGCGGCGTCATGAGCGAGGTAGCGTGGCATATTCCCAGAGAACGGTCGCAGCGGCATCACAGCGCTCATGTTTCGGAACACTGGGCTGGTCATCGAGGTACAAAAGTCCTCCTTGCACAGGACGCCAAGCACGGGACTCTTTGATTGGTATGCCCAAAGGGCACGGGCCAATCAATTGACTTCTCTGAATGGTCGCGATCTTTGGAGCAGCATCATTCGACTCGACATGGAATATGCGTCGCTCAAGGACCACGAGGACGCCGTCGACCGCACGAGCGACGTGATCTTCGCCGTGCTCGGGTTTGCTTACTTGTTTCCGTTCTGGGCGCTTGTCCAGCCCGTGGACTACTGGCACATTCTCTTTCCAACGTTCAACGTTGAGTTTGATATTTCGTTGACGTACACGGTCGCGAGCGTGTTGACGCTCGTTTGGGTTGTGTTTGTCAGTGGCGTTCGCGGCCACAACGTTCGCATCGTCGGGGGGCTCGCGACGCAAGTCGCAGTGCTGGTTGTCTTGCCGTTTGTGGCGCTCGTGCCGTCTCCAGTGTACCGCCATGTCATGGTGCTGACATCGACCGTGTGGATCGCAATTGCCACAGCGATCCTCGACAGTTCGGTGTTTGGCCTAGCGGCGCTGTTTCCCAAAGGCGCGATCGAACACGTTCAGTTTGGAATGGGCATTTCTGGCCTTGTCACTGCCATCTTTCGCGTGGTGTCCAAGGCGTGCTTCCCCGCCAGCATGCTCACAGTGGCCACCACCACGTACTTCTTCGCAGGCGCTGTCACCGTTGGGTCAGCTATCATCGCTTACTTTGCGCTCCTCCGACTCCCACAGACGCAGGACCATCTCCACGCCGACAGGACGCAGCATTCCTTTCAATGCCGCTTGCTTACCAAGGTGTGGAAAAACCAAGCACTCGTCGTCCTCAACTACGCAACGACGCTTGCCGTCTACCCAGGGGTAGTTTCGGAACTCAGGAGCTTTCAATCCCCGATGTTGAACTCCAACGAGTGGTGGCCACTCCTTCTGCTCACATTATACGCGGCCATGGAAGTCGTTGGCCGATATGGCGCTGCGTGGAGTCACTGTGGTTTCACGCCCCAGTCCGTTTGGCGCGCCGTCGTCACGCGCCTCGTCCTCATTCCCGCACTGGTGTGTGCGGCCAAAGGCGTGTGGCTCACTCATGACATCATCTCAGTTGGCCTCGTCATGGCACTTGCCTTGTCCAATGGATATGTCGGCACTCTGACCGTCGTGTTGGTGAACGACTGCGTCGACCCTTCCGAACGCTCCGCGACTGGGATGGTGTCGAGTTTATGCATCAACATTGGCTTGATTCTGGGGGCAGCAGTGGCATACTTCGTATCCCAGGCTGCTCACATGTGAGCCCGCCGCAGCCTCCTCCAGCGCCCGATGGAGTTCGCGGACGCAGCCATGCCACACGAATCTAACCTTTGCAACGACACCCTCCAACATTCAATACAAACCAATGTAAAATTCCAATTGAAACCAACCGACGGGCCACACAAGCCTTAAGACATGGTGTGTCTCTCTGCATCTTCCCTACTGGTTGGCAACCACGTCATCAATCACGACTCGCACGATTGTCGAGTCAGGCGTCGGCGCAACTTGGCACACGGCAATGCGGTGGCACACGTCCAACGCGGTGGAACCGCCTTCCAACCATTTGGCCAAGTCTTCAAAATGCTCGTTTACATCGTCACACTACGGCATCATGAGATCATTCTTGTGGGCACGACAACATACGTACATGGACGGATGGCGGCAAAAACGAGCACATGGCGCCGATGGCCTCGCGCACCAACGGCAGCTGGTGCTTATCCACCTTGATCACTGCCCCAATCGACTCGGACGCGTACTGGCAAAACAGACACCCCTCGTCCGACCCGACCGACCGATTCGACGCCATCCATGACGTCACGTGGGCTTCCAAGTCAAGCGTCGACTGCTTGGCAATTTCACACAAGTGCGTCTTCAAGCAAGCTTCCGACGGGTTCGTCCCGCTCTCCACCAACGACGCGAGCGAGTCAAATTTGCCAACTACCGAGTTGCACTGCACACAACCACGCGTCAGCCCCAACTCGGCAGTACCCACCATCACGGCAACGCACCTGGGCTTGTAATTGCTGAACTTGGGAGCACAGCGCTTCGAGGCCAGTCTTCAAGAGCGGCACGACGTCCTTGTCGTAGTTGGTCACGACCTTGATCAACTGGGCCACGTCTTCGCACAACAAACACGTCAGCATGTCCTTGGGACGATTCGCTTCCATGGCGTGCATCTTGATGGCCAAGTCCCCAAGTTGACTCTGGACAAATCCGTGTGACGTGGTCGGCAGAGCCAACTGTGCTTTGGGCAATGGGGTCGCCACAGAGCATAGTTCGACTTTGCCACACGCTTGCGAGGCCGCGGTCCCGGCTTCAATCAGCCCCACGAGCGCATCAAACTTGGACACGACCTTCTCGCACTGCGCTTCGACGGGAAGCTTTGCGCACAAAATTTCAAACCCTGGCTTGAGAAACGGCAAGATGGACTTGTCGACCGTGACAACCTTGGCAATAACAAGGCCCACATACTCGCAAAAGACGCAAGTCAGCACGTCCTTGTCAGCAGAGACCGGAGTCACAGTCAACCAGCTCTGGACAGTCGTCTCTATCGCGTTCACTTTGTCTACTGAAGATAGCAATGGCAAATGGAGCGCTTGCTTCGCTTCGCACAACTTGACTTCGTTACAAGCTTCCAAAAAGTTCTTGCCACCTTCGACGAGATTCACCAAGTGGTCAAACTCGGGCATGACTCGGACGCACTGGACAACACGTCGTCAGTTGACGGCATCGCAGCAAAACTTACCTGCGGCGTCTGGAATCGATCGCAGAGCACTTCCAACCCAATCTTGAACGCCATGAGGTACTGCTTGTTGACCTTTTCAATGGACATGATGGTGGTCGCGACCGCTTCGCACATTTCGCACGTCACTTCGTCGTCCTTGCCCCACGTCGACACGGTCGACTCGACCTTTTGCAGCGCCTTCTCCACGACCGCCGACTTTTCAATTTCATCACACAGCTGCACGTGGACACACGCTTGCAATGGCGACGACCCGACTTCAATCAGCTGCGCCAACTCGTCAAACGCCGTCAAGACTGTCGAGCACTTGGCCTCGGGCGGCAGGCGCGTGCACAGCGTTTCCATCCCAATCTTGACCAGAGGCACGACGTCCTTGGAGTATTTGGCCACTTCGACAATAACTTCACCGGTCGCCTGGCACATCACACAGCCCAAAATGTCTGCCTTGACGCCGTGGGGAACCGCGAGCGCCTTGTGCACTTGAGCTTCGACCTGTTTCAATGCGGCGTCGACGCGAGTCGTGCCGAGGGTTTCGACTTCCGGTATGCAAAAGCCCAAGTCCGTGCAGGCGAGTTTCGCGTGCTTGCCCTTCTTCAATAATGCTTCCAGCTCGTCAAACTTGGCCACAATGTCGCGACACTATCGATAGGAATTCACCAGTCAGCCAACAACTCGAAGGCCTTATCCTGCTTTACAGCCATGTCGGTGCTTGCGCACCGACAGAAAACGTAAGAGGCCCAGACCGTACCTTGGTACAAGGGGGCAAGAAGTGGCAAACGATCGAAATTGCCTTTTTCAACTCGGGCAACGACGTCTTGTGCGCCTTTTCCACTTTTTGGATCGCATAAGCCACGTGTTCGCAAGTCGTACAACCCACGTAATGCGTCACGTCATACGTCGGCGCCGCCAACTCGTCCACCATTTTCTCTAGAATCGACAACAAGTGCGCGGGCTTGGCTTCCACCGACGGTGGACGGGCAGCAGCCGCCGCTTCCAAGGGGGAGCACATCTGGACAGCCTCGCACCCCTCTCTTGGTGTCTTGCCTTGGTCCATCATGTTGGTCAGGTCGTCGAAGCGCAAGTCCATCACCTTGCACTGTTCACAACCCATTCGACGTCACAGAGCGTCCTGAAATCGATCAGTTGCAGACGAGACCTCACCTGAGCTTGGGGCGGCAAGTTGATGCACAGGCCATCGAGACCATCCTTGACAGCTGGCAAGGTATCCTTGCCGCCTTGATGCAGCGCCGATGTGACGACTTGGCCCACAAATTCACAGTACACGCAGCCGAGGAACGTCGGGGTGGCTGCCGCAACTGCTGCCTCCGTCACACACGCGCGCACTTTCTGGCACGTCGCGAGAACATCGTCGCCTTGTTCGAGGTGTTTGGCCAACACGTGGAAGTGGCTGGACATGAATTGACACTACAGCCACACAAAATGAGACCACCGATGCAAATTCATACTGGTGGCACGACGCACCGCTTTTGAATCGGCAGTGTGCGCGCAAACCGCGTCCAACCCGTCCTTGTATAGCTTGAGGCCATGCGGCACATTCACCAACGAATGCATGGCGTTTGTGTTGTCCTGGCAGATCGCGCACAACTCATCGTGCTGCGGTGAAGCGCGCAGACTCGACAAGGCCTTGGCAGACCCGGCGTCTGGGCGAGCGAGAGCAGCAGTGCACATCGAGATCTTTTGGCAAATGTGCTTGGGACTCAAACCGTCCTTGAGCCACTTGATAATGTCGTCGAGGCGGGTGACGAGAACGCTGCATTTCGACGACGACGGAAGGTACTCGCAGAGCAACTTGAGGGCTTGCTCCACCACTTCGATTGCCAGTTCTTGCTTATCAAAAGTGTTTTCAATCATGGTGACAGTGCGTTCGCACAGCTCACACGAATCGAACGGTGCGGCATGATCATTCGACGCGGCAGCTTCGACCCAGAATTGGCGCCATGTGCACACAAGTGGAGGGGACGTGATGCCGTGCGCAAGCATGTCCTCCACCGCAGGGGAACTTTGAATCGCCATGCACTCTTCTTCTTCCGCCTGGGAAAACATGAGTTGGCCACTGCATGCACGCATCGGGAACAAGCTTTCAAAAAGCTCGTCAAACATATCGGCTTGCTTGTCCGACTTGATCAACGACGCCACGGCAACCTCGCACGGATCGGGTTTGGTCAGGACGACGCTCATCACACTCTGTACATCCGGGAACGTCTGCGTCATCACGTCGCCAAACCAGTCTTCGCTAAGGGCATTTGCTGGACTCGCCAGCGCCACTGCGAACGCGATGCCGTGCCCATACAGCTTCATCTTCGCCGCGTATTTGTTGGGTTGCACGACGGAAAAGATATGCCTGGGACTGAGCGGCAAGGAAGAACGCAATTCCTCGTAAGTGCGTATAATTGTATCTTCCCGTTAATATAGAAGATCGTACTTAAAAAGAACCACTGTGGGACACAACATGATTGTTCCCTGTTTTGAATGACGCATGCGGTAGTAGTCACATCGTTATACTGACATAAAAGATGACAATGATTTGAATCCCTCGAAATAGGGACGGATTAGAATGATGATTCTGCTGTCATGGACCAAGGTGGTTGCGCGATGCACACCTTGATGGGATCATAGGCAAAGAAGGGAAGGATGGCGGCAGGCGGCGAAGTACATGCAGCCCCGGCGCAAGCTGTGGTCTTGAATGTGCCTCCTCGTCGCGGTGAGAGACGAATGCGCTCTGCACGGGCCATCCCTAGCTGATTGTGGCAATTCCCAGTGTGAGTCACAACGGGCTGGGCCGTGCGTCCACAGGTTGATCGCAGTCGAACACGCACACCGAAACACACCGATGAAGCGCACTCCCTCCACGGCGGGCGAATGACCTCGTGAGGAATGTAGCATACGTCGGTCAACGGTTTCGTTCCAATCGCGCGCTGTGTAACGCGACGGGGTATATTTGGAACCGACAACGGAACTTAGCACCGCGAAAAACGGCCCTCGCTGTACTGAGCCATGCAGCACGGCGGGCGAGGCGCGTTGGACGACCCGCCCCAGACGACAGAGTCTCCATCACCGTCGAGTCGAGGCACAACAGACGGAAGTGGGGCCACGGACGCCGCGTTTAGCCATCCAGAGGACATGGTCGCACCGTCCAATTCGTGTGATGAGGAAGCAGGTTCTGTCAGTGACGACGACAGTCTGTGTCCAGAGGGAATGGAGGGAGAGCTTGTCATGAAGTCGTGTCTCCACGAGAAAGGCTCGAGGGGCGGCGGGTTCTTCCATCGACTCGTCGGTGGCAAGCAGCACAAATATCAGGTCGGCAAAGCCTCCGCCGCCATCGTGACCAGCCTCGAATCTGTTTCCACGACGGCCATTGCTTCCTTCGCTGGGACAGGGGACGTCCTGCGGCATATACCGCCTTTGACTCGCACTTCGTCCGACGTGATGGAGGACATTCCACTGCACGAAGACCATTCTACGACGACCTCGACACCGTTTCACGACCAGGGCAGTCCGTACCCCGACGCCCAGACCACGTTTGTCGCTCCCGAAGTCGTGATCCACGACTCGCCGGCCAAACCCTCGACGAGAGAAGCCAACGACGCCGTCAAAGTCGGCTACAGGCACCCAATCCTTCACAAACAGAGCTCGTGCATTGACTCGAGTGGCAGTTCGAGCGCCACAGACGAAGTGCCCACACTACTTGTGCTTCTCACCATCGTCAGCGCGTCCGGCTTGCTCAAAGTGCACAAGTTTGGCGTGCAGGCGCCGTACCTGGAAATGAAGATCAGTTCGGACGAAGCGTCGCCATTCCGGACAGCAGAGTGCAAGAAAGGCGGCACGGAGGCAGTGTGGAACCAATCGTTTACCCGGCGGCTCCATTCACTCGACGATTCGCTCTACGTGGCGGCGAAAGCCAGCACCACCGTGATCGGCGACCTCGTTGTGTCGTTTCGGTCGTTGGGGTTGTCGACAGAGCTCACGAATCACACACTAGAGTTGACTCGAGGCAAGGCCGCCGAGCGGGTAGGAACCATTTGTCTGCAGTGCCGAGTCTTGGACCCGACGGCACCAGGCGTAACACCAGTGATCGCCGCCGCCCCCATCGCACCTCTTCCCCCGCAACAGCCCGTGCTTCCAATGCCGTCGTGCGTCGACAAGCCCGTAGAGCCCAAGGTGTCTGTGGCCAAAGTCAAGTACAACGACGTCGGGGCGTCCGTGGACAACGGTGTCTGGGACGCCGCGATTCGAAAAGGCGCGCTCATGTTCAAGATCCCGTACCACCAGAGCAGCGGCGCGGCGCCAAAGCGCAAGTGGGTGGCGCTGCAAGACCTGCCCAAGAAGGGACTGTGCATCACATGGAGCGACCCGCATAACCCGGTCGAGTCGAGCCACCACCTCATTGCGCTCCACGACGTTGTCGAAGTCAAGACAGGCATCAAGACGATGGCATTTCGGAAACAACATGCAGCGCACAGCAAAGGCAACACGTTTTTCCACGAAGACGTGTGTTTTTCGCTCATTTCCGCGTCGCGATCGCTCGATCTGGCGGCCGCAAGCAAGGAAGAGGCGGCGCTGTGGGTCGCGTCCGTCCGACGGATGCTCCAGCACCAAACGACCACATCATCGACGGCGTCATCTTCCGTTGTCGTGGGCCTCCGGACGTCGGCCAAGATCATGCAAGACTTCAAGACCGCGGCCACGACACCCATACGAGACAAATCGACGCACGCCATGTGGATGCAGGACCTGTTCCGGTATGCCAAGGCGCAGCAGCTGTCGGAGATTGCCCACTTTCTTATGGATGGCTGTCCCGTCGATCTGTTGGAACCTCAAACAGGCGACACGATTCTCTTTCTCGCGTGTCGGTCGGGATACGTTGCGCTTCTCGAGCTTTGCCTCAAGTGGGGCGCCAAGAACGACCCGCACCCGACGTTCGGGGACACTGCCCTCCAGATCGCTGTCAAGGCATCGCAGCCGGAATGCGTCCGGCAGTTGCTCTCTATTGCAGCCAAGAGCGACATGGACACTGAGATCGTGAACCACGTCGATCATGCCAACCAAGCGCCGCTACACGTCGCGGCGTCCCAGGGAGATGTGGTGTGCTTGCAGCTCCTGCTTCACCACGGCGCCGACATTTGCGTCGTTCAGGCCAACGGCCACACGCCGCTCCATTGCGCGGTGCTCGGTGGCCACGAGAGCTGCGTCGCGTACATTTTGGACGTGGGAGGCGACGCGATCATCAACACGGGCGATGGCCTCGGCAACACGCCGCTGCACTGCGCGGTGCAACTCGGCCACGAACGCCTGGTCAAGTTGCTTCTCGAGAGCGCGGCAGACGTGACTGTTGTCAACAACGACAACTTGACGCCATACAAGCTCGCGCGGCGCCTCCCCAAGCTTCGCGCGATTCAAGCGCTGTTGGCCATCTACGAACCGGAGCCGCCTCCGACACCGTCCAAGGAACAGCCGCGCAACTTGTGGCAATCGACTCCCCAGTCGCAATCGGCGCGATTGCAAGTTCGAGACGCGTTGATGAAGCACAAGTCGCAGAATTTCCTGATGCCGTCCCCCGCCAAGTCGTTGAGCGCCCGATCCGCGTCGGAAGGCGAGTTTGACGGGTACACAAGCAGCAGCTCGACCACATCCAACTGCGTTGGCGACGGGACCGTCAACAGCACGTCGTCTGGGTCGTTCTACTGTCACGAAGTGCACCCCACATCACCATACTATCCCGCCGACACAAGCAGCAGCGCTCACCACCCCACACAACCCGTGCCACCGCGACTGCCGCCGCATTCCCACGTCGTTCCGCCGTCCCACCAGTACCCGACCTACGCCACGTACGACTGGCAGCACGAATGGGAGGTCAAATACACTGACGATGGCCATGCCTACTACGTCAACCTGTACACGGGTATGTCACAATGGGAAGCCCCGCCCGCTTTGCACGGCTACGATCCGTACGCCACTTGTTTGTACGATCACCAGCTGCCTGCCGTTCCAATGAACACAAACTCTGTCTACGATTCCAGCAGTCAGTACATCCGGGCGCACTTGATTCGTTCCCACAACAGCGCCGACACGACCCACCACGTCATTGCACCACCTCCACCCGCCGTGTACGCAAGCCCTGCCTTCCCCACGTCACTCGTCTATCCCCCCCCTTCCACGACGTCAGCTACGTCGTCCCCGACGGCATCTCCCCGCTCCAAAACGAGTTTTTCCGAGCGCCGAAAAATGGAAGGGCTGACCATGGAGCCGCTCAAAGTTGTGACCGCGCTGCCCGACCAAGGTAATTACGCGCCAATGCCCGTCATGATGCTCAGGCAATCGTGTGCGCGATATTAGGTCCAACTTTAAAGCTCGAAAAACTCAACGACGAAAGCGACATTTTCCAAAAGGTACTTGGTCGTTCCCGCGGTGGGCTAACGACGCCTGGTCGTAGTCGCGTTCGCGGTCGCCGAAAGGCAAGTCGAAAACGGTCAAAGTACTCGACATCAAGCGCGCCAACAACATCGTCATGACGCTGTCCGACTTTGAATTCCACACGCAGTTTGACAAGATCACCCAAGCCATCGTGGACATGGTATGATGCAGTCGATGCAGCATCTCTCGACCTGTCATGTTGTACAGGACGACCACGCGCTCAACTTGGAAAAAGTTCGGTGCCTCAAGGGCCTCTTCCCCACGGGTACGTCCCATTCTCGAGCTTCGCCGCTGACTGGAATCACGTAGACGACGAGAAGGAATCGCTACTCGCGCGACAAGCGGACAAAGGCGAGTTTGGCAAAGCGGAAAAGTTTATGATGGTGCGTGCGCCCCCTAGCCGCACAGACCATGGTGCATAACACAAACGACGATGCAGGCGTGCCTAGAAGTGGACGACATCAACATTCGAGCCGACTGTTTTCTGTTCAAACTAAAGGTTGGCCGCCGCTCTCTGCTGACGACTGTACACTCATGGCATGTTGTGCAGTTTGCCAGAACGATGGCCCAGCTAAAAACCCGCGTACACATTGTTCTGTCGATCTGCCAAGTCATTCTCGACACCCCTGCTCTGTGCACGGTCGTGCAGCAGGTGCACCAAACGACCGACTCGATCGCCTTCGACTTACATCCCTGCGTCTGCATAGATGCTCGAGGACAAGAAGCAAAAGGTCATGTGGGAAGATGACAAGTACAAACAGCTCCTGGACACCGCCATAGCCGCTGGCGATGTTGCCACCGACCAAATGGGCAAACTCCGGCAGGTCGAGTCGGTGCCGGATCTGTCGTGTTTACTACGATCTGAGCTGCAAGACGTCCTGGATTCCCTCATCAATGGGTGCCGGACATGCCAGAATCTCTTGTCTCAAGCCAAGGCCAGGCTCAAGCAGACAGAGTTGTCGGCGACGAGCCCTTCCAACCCAACCACCCTCATGGGCGCGTCCGCCGTCGCCGAATTCGAGAGGTTCATCAAGGCGAGTGTCGGCGAAATCAATGACGCCACGGACGAGTTTCGCCAAGCGAAAGCGTGGGAAAACAAGCTCGTGTCGGAATTTGGCGCCGTCCTTGAAGACTTTAGTCCGCACGAGATCCTGTGTGCAGTCAAGGAACTGATCGCATAGCAACGATAGTCCAATAGTTCGGGTAGTTCGCGTTAACGTTAGGTCCAATGGAAAAATCCACGTCGGATGCAGTCTTGAGGGGGATCCATCAAGGCGAAGGCATTCGTACAGATGACTGCAACAGCCCACAATGCTAGGCAAGATAGTTGAGCTCCAAAGTACCAAGGAGCGAGGCGCCATTCCCCCTCTTCCCCGTCGCCCTTCATACCTGGATCTGTTTGTGGGCTTCTCGCAGACTAGGTGGATCGGTCAAAAAGACTGGAATTCTTGACGTCACCGCATCCACGGATATTTCTCGACGTTCTGCATGCATCCCCAGCGGTCGTGACGGAATCGTTCTGTTCTGCCTAAAAGTCCCCTTCGGCTGGGCTAGCCAAGCCATGTTATAGTGAAGGAGCAGACATGGTAGTGAAATCAGTGTCGAGATGTGCAGTGGTGATAAGTATTCTATTGCAAGGATTTCGAGATGGATATGCATCCTATGCTAGTGACAATGTCTAAATCGAGCCTGCAGACGTGTTGTAGCGCAATCGCGACGTTGGCGACCCTTCCTCTTCGGCGTACTCCCCGCTCTCGTACGATACGGCGCTTTCAGGATATTCTCGGATGTTCTGGGCATACTTTTCGTGGAGTCGCGCTTCTTCTTCCCACTGGACATGGTCGTACGTGGGCTGTCTAGTCTGGATGCGTCGCAAGATAGCCTACATGAGGAGCCACAGGTCACTTATAATGCCATCCATCAAGGCGCAACCTGGTTTTCGGCCGTGATGCGCTGCAACTCGCGCTTGCGCTGCTCTTTGTTCAGACTGTGTCCATGTTTGAGCGACTCGTTCTTGTTGTCGAGTGTGTCGTGCTGCATGATGAAGCTCATCTTTTCTAGCAAGATTCGATTCTCACGCTCGATTGTGGCATACCGCTCTTCTTTCATCTGTTCTTTCTTGAGATTCTTGCGCAGGTGGGCTGGTCGTGTTGGTTCGCTGTTGTCGATTGTACTCTTGATCGTATTGAGCTTCTGCTTGTGGATCAACTGGCACCGGTTGTAGAACTTGGAGTCCGTGTGCTTGTTCAGCGTTGGCAGTGCTTTGCGGCCTCGGTCCATGGCTCGAGCTCAGGGGAAGGCAAACTGCGATGGCCATCGCCATGATGCCTTGGCTATAAATATGAACTCGGCCATTTCCCAAACGGCACGTGATTTGATTGGCGGATTCGATTGTACGAATAAATCAATCATATCCGGATTGTCTGGACAAAGATCGAAAACATGGCGAAAGGTCACACGCTCCAATATTCCCAAAGCAGAACGCGTCATGGCATCTATCTACGAAGGAGCGTTCGATACAGCGGCACTGCAGAAGGAATTGGCGCTGGCTCTCGAGGAAGACCGCAAGTACAAACTCACGGACGAAATGAAGAAGCGCGCGATCCACACGGCAGCCAGCTACGACGACTTTCGCGTAAGCGTGACTACAAAGTAATGTGGCGGCAGATGCCTCTTGTGTAGAACTTTGTCCTGTGCGCCGACTTGAAACCTGTCTCGTCCAAGGAACTTCAAAATCTGTCCAAGAGCGAACGCAAGCGAAATCGCATGTACCAAGCGAAAACCGCCGTAGTCGACACGACCAAGTCCAAGACGTTGGTTGGAGAGCTGGATGCGGCTGTCCCGCCTGCGACGTCTGTCGAGTTCCTTCGAACGTGGCGCCGAAGTTGTGTGACCCAGGATGCCAAATACAAGTACGTGCATTAAATCACGTCGGAGTGTTTCCCACACATGCATAGATATCTGCAGGTGACCACACCCGAGCGGCTACAGAAGCTGTTTCATGCCGAACTGGATTCAGACTTGATGCTTCAAATCGTGGCATGCTTGAATGCGCAGTTTGTGAATTTGAACCCGAACAACGACGTGGACGACTTTGAGACGGAACACGCCCATGCATGTTTTACCCTTGCTATGCTGGAAGCAGCGACGAAAACAGGCCGCTTTGCGCTGACTGTGTCGTTCTGGACGTCGAGCCAAGCAACGACGGTGGCACAGCTTGTGGCGCGAGTCCACGATATCCTCGTGTCCAACTACGACGACGACAACGACGCGCTTGGTCAAGTGACTGTCCGCTTGGATGCACTGCGTGACCAGTTTCGCCAGTAGCCATTCAAATATTGTACGGCGTTTAGAAGTCAAAGTAAGAAATAATCAATTGCCGATTTGGTGCAGTACAGCCCGAGCGCGATGAGAAGTATGCCCATGCACCGCAAGATGGCGCCGATGGTTTGATTCTTGAGCCGCTACCGACACAGTCAGACACTTGGAGCCCTTTCTCAAGCCAGCCAACGGACCTGTTTGTACGTCTTGAGCAGTGCCAAGAGGATGTAAAACCACGTAGAAATGCCACACGCGACGCCGACGCTGAAAAACACGGCCAAAAACAGCGTGAACTCCAGGTATCCCGTGTGATACACTAGTCATGGAGCATCTTCGACCAGCAATTCAACGAGTTTGTGGCGTACCGCTGGCGAGGGCCCCTGTGTACGTAGCCAAGAGTGCTGGGTTGAACCCTGACATGGTAAAACCCAACAGCAAGTGCTTGGCCATCAACGCTCGAGCAGAACTTGGTCCAAACGAATTCTTGGCGCTTGCATTGTTCGAGTCGGACTCGATTTGAGGCTGGACTTCCAGCCGAAGGAAAACTATGCCGACCACAAGCAGCATGCACGCTCCGAGAATTCTACCAAGAGTTGATGGCCTTGAGCGCTCGGCCATGACTGTTAACCGATAACATACTTGGACACGGGAAGCAGCCACCCGACTCCAACCAAGAAACTGCCAAAGCCCCAATATGCCACGCCAGCATACGTCTAAGACAATTCATTGAGATAGTTCGAGAAAAAGGAGCGGAAAGTGATAGCGCACCGCTTCGGCGACGGCGCCGCCAAGCGCAACAGTTTGGGCATCCCAGTACTGTCCCTGGATGCCCATCTTGAGCACCATGGCGGACGTTGGACCAGCGATGGGAATCGAACCCAAAAACCCAAAGAAGAATCCCGCTACTACAGGTAACAAGTACAGCAGCATCCACATGTCTGGGCCCAACTTGGGATTCGGAATCGTGGTTGCGACACCTCCTGCCTTTGATCCAATCGTGACACCAGGAACCAGCGATGGAGATATCGTCGCAAACGATTCGGGTGGATTCTCTGTCATTGCAATCACGTGGGTACCCCCTGGCGGAGTTGCGGACACTGGAATGTTCGATATTGGCGGAGGGGTTGGTGCAATCGCATCGTCCAGAACAAGGTACATCGAGTACGTTCCCACAACGAGGAGACACACGAAGATTGTGGCCGCAGCTGCCGCCATGGTTGTGTAGCGGTGTCTTCGCCTCACCGTGATGTAGTTCAGGCCTTTCTTGTACAACGGCAGCATCGTAGCGCGCTTTGGTCACCACCGTCGACGGCGGCGGGTGAGTAAAACTCGTTTTTTCACACGGAGGTTGTCGAGTCCTTCATTTCGATTGGTCAAGCAGGTTTGCTTGTTGTAGGTTACTGAATTCATTTATAAAATGTGTAAATGAATTGTCTATTCATGTGGACTACTAAGTATGAAAAAGATGACTGGATGGTATTCAATTGTTCATTTATTCCAATATTTCTTTATCCCGACCTCATCGCGTGAGGATGCCAAGTGGCGGCACAGACAAGGCTAAGGAAGCGGCGGCGGATCCAAGCGCGGCGAGACAGCGCTTGATCTTCCTCTTCACGTATGCTGCATACACAGCAGTGTACTTCACGCGAAAACCGTTTTCCGTTGCCAAGTCGACCTTGATGGCTGAACGCGTCCACACGGAGAGCGAACTTGGCCTCATCGACACGGCGTTCCTCGTGTCATATGCTCTGGGGCAATTTGTTTCGGGCCCTGTCGCGTCGCTTCTGGGGTCCAAGCGTGGTCTTGCGGTAGCATTCGTGGGCACGGGTGTGTGCTCTTGGGTATTTGGATCAAGTCCGTCAAAGGAGGTGAGGTCGGCTGCGTGGTTCGCGAACGGCCTCTTTCAAGCGTTCTTCTTTCCCTTTATCATGGATATCCTGCGTGCTTGGTTCCCACCGTCGAGCCGCGGTAAAGTCCTGGGCTTGTGGACCACGTGCCAGCAATTGGGCGGATTCGCAACCAGCGCGTTCGGCGCGTATGTCCTCAGCACGTCGACGTGGCACAACGTTTTTGTCTTGCCAGCCGTTGTCTCGTTCGTGTTTGCCTTCTTGTCTATGTCCGTGCTCCAAGTGTCTCCTGGTCAAGTTGTCCCAACGTCGTCGTCGTCGCCTGCCAAGTCACCGTCGTCGCCGTGGACAGTTCCCCACTTGACCAATGTCGGCAGCGCCTACTTTTGCATCAAGCTGGTTCGGTACACGTTTCTGGGGTGGCTGCCATTCTACCTAACTGCAGTGCTGCAGTACTCCGCTGCTGAAAGCGTTCTCTTGTCTACCGCGTTTGATCTCGCTGGCACCGTTGGCAGCGTCGTCTGTGGGTTTACGTCTGACAAGTGGTGTGGCGGGTATAGTGCGCGCATCGTCGCCCCGATGTGCATCCTCTGCGGTGTCGGTACGGTGCTGTACCCGCACATCGCTTCCACGAGCCAGATGGCCAACATAGCGGTCATGGCAGCAGTCGGGCTCTTTGTCGCGGGCCCGGACTCGATGCTTGGGGGTGCCGCGTGCGCTGAAATTTGCGAGCGCGATGGCCAGCCAGCTGCTGCAACCAGCGCCACCGGGATTGTCAACGGCATGGGGTCGCTCGGGGCCATTGCGTCTGGCATGCTTCCGATCCTCGTGAAGGAAACGTACGGCTGGAACGTGTTGTATTACACGATGGGGGGCCTCTGTCTTGCGGCGGGAGTGCTGCTGCTCCCGCTGACAACCCCGAGAACGACACCACACAAGAAAACCACATAAATCGTTCAATTTCAAATTAGATGGGTATTTCGGATATTTGTAACATTGAACAGGATACGGGAATTCCAAGTGTGACGTATCTTGAATGGTTACCTCCGCGACCTTTCGCGCACGTCAGATTCGCACGGTTTGGTCATTCGAGCACAGCTATGCTGCATACGCGTGCATCTAAGGTGCGTCTGTGGATTCTCGCGACCGCGACCTCCGGGCTCGCGTTAGCGGCCTATCGGCCCATCGACGTCGTGGGTGTGACCGACCCAGTGTTGCTCGCACGCATCGAAGGGTACATGCCGCCGATCTGTTCATCGCTGTATGGGGATAGCGAACACTGGACAGACTGGAGTATTTGCTCTGCGAAGTGCGGCGCTGGCCAGCAAGTGCGGTACCTTACGAACGCAGGAATTGAGAACCTGCAATCGAACGGGTGTGAGATCTCCATCGACAAGCGCAACTGCACGGGCACGATGTGTCCTCGCGATTGCCAGTACAGCGACTGGCTCGAAAACAACGGAACGAACGGTGGATGGGGTGTATGCGACAAGGCCACGGGCTCCCAAGCCCGAAAACGAGTTGAAATCATGTCGGCCGCGAACGGAGGCAAGTCGTGCCCTGAGCTGTGGGGGGCACCTACTCAAACCAAGAATTGCCCGATCGACTGCGAGGGCAATTATGGGCCTTGGGAGACCAAGTGCAATGGCAAGAACGGCACCGTTACCCGTCCATTCATTGTGACCGTGGCGCCACTCAATGGAGGCGCGGATTGCCCAGCCCTGTTCGACACGATGGATTGCAATCCTGCCTGCACAGAAATTCCGTGGGGACAATACAGCGAGTGCAGCCCCATCACTGGCAACCGCACCCGGACGCGCGACGTGCCCGTTGACGCCAACTGGCTCAAGATCACTACGATTCTCAAAGAGAATAAATGCCCCACGATTGATGTCCAGCCGTGCAACGTGCACTGCCAACTTGGTAAATGGACAGATGAAAAGGTAGCCACGTGCAATTCGAGTACTGGATTGAAAACCCTCACGCGGCGCATCGTCCAACCGGCTCGGTTCTGTGGCACGCCATGCAACTCAACTGAGCATGATACGCTCTTGACCAAGACAGTACCGTGCAACGTCCCGTGCATCTTGGACTCGTGGGGGCCATGGACATGCGACAAGTCGACTGGTCTCGCCACGCGGATTCGTGCCGTGCTGCAAGCGCCTCTCAACAACGGCACCACTTGTGGAATCACCAGCCAAACCCAAGATTGCCGCTCCGTGACGTGCCCTAACTGCGCCAAGACGTGCGAACCCACCGACTGGGTGTCCGATAACGTGTGCAACGTGACGACGTGTATGTCCAAGAAAACTCGGACAAGAAAATACCCTGTCCGGGATGCCGACAAGCCGTGCAGCTTGGAAGCGTTCGAGCCATGCACGGCAGATGCAATCATGGGGCCTTGGTCCGCGTGGAGTGAATGCGACGAACATGCCAGACGCACGCGGTCCCGCGGGATTGTGTCCCCAGCTTGCAACTGGGGCGGCGTGGCAAGCCACACCACGGAGACGCAGTCGTGCCAATCCATCTGCCTTCCCCGCCACAACCCATGGCCAGTCGACAAGGACGGTCAAGAAGTGTGGGGACCATGCAACCAAGCGACGGGGATGCAAACTCGCCGCCGTGTCATCGTCAAACCCCCAACCGCCGATCAAGAGCCATGTCGGACGTCCGAGTCTCGAACCTGTGCTGTCAACTGTGTTTTGGATGCATGGAGCCCTTGGTCCAAGTGCGAAGCCAACAGTGGGCTGCGCAATCGCACGCGGCGCATCCTGCAGCCCATGCTCAACGGTGGAAGTCAATGTGGGCCTACTCAAGAAACGGAGAAGTGCCCCATGGCATGTTTGACCGGAGAGTGGAGCCCTTGGTCCCCGCCAGACGACAAGTGTGTGTGCCACAGCACCCGCGACCAGCTCACTCCAGCGATCAACGGTGGGCCATGCATTCTCAAACAGTTCGATCCATCTTGTGTTCAGAACTGTGAGGTCGGGAGCTGGAATGCTACAGGGAAATGCCACGTGGCTGGACCTCGCGCTGGGTATCGGCGGCTGACTCGATCGGTGCTTGCACGTCCGTGTAACGGTGGTGCTTCCTGCGGCGCGACCGAGTCGTGGGAGCCGTGCGATGTCCACTGCGCCATGGGAAATTGGAGCTCCTTTGGACAGTGCGACCTCGAGACGCAAACGCAAACGGCAGAGCGCACGATTCTCCATACAAACTTCGGCAACGGCAAGTCTTGTGGCGCTACAGTCAAGACCCGGCCGTGTGGCGCTTGCGCCGACCTCCTGACGCCGTACCAGTACGGGGTTTGCAACCCCGCGGTGGGGACACGAACTGGCATTGCGTCGTGGAAATACCCACCCAAACAAGGACAACAGTGCGCGCTTCGCGTCAAGCAGCGATGCGCGGTAGACTGCAAGCTGTCTGCTTGGAAGGCTGGTCCATGCAACGTGCGAGGGCCGCTTGCGGGCAAGAAGTCGTTCACACGAAACGTTTTGGTACAGCCGCTCAATGGTGGAAAACAGTGTGAAGCATTGGAAAAAGTAGAGAAGTGCCGAGTTGATTGCAAACCAACCAACAAGTGGGGGCCATGGGGCCAATGCCTGCCGAACGGCCTGATGAATCGCACGTTACTGATTGACTACCCCGCTCAGCATGGCGGTAGCAACGATGCTTGCACCGTGATGGAATCCAAAGCATGTGCTGTGGATTGCATCATTGATACGAGTACTGGTGAAGTCACGCGTGGGTCGCTGAACGGCGGTTTGACGTGTCAAGAGGTTGCCGCGGCGGCAGGGCTCGACGGGGACTACTCGGACGTGAGCGGTTCGTCCCATTTTTCAGTGTTGGCCAGTCAGCACAAGGAAGTTGTGATGTCCATGGTCGCTGCTGGGGGTGTCGGGTTGATGTTTATGGTGGGGGCACTCCAGCGTCGATACCAAGCTCATCGCCAAAGCTACAGCTCCATGGCGCAAGCGTGAGCATAACTCAGGCTGTTGCCGAAGTCTAGTGTTTTGCATGTGTGCGATAATCAAGGGTGTTTGTATATCGTGTTGCGACTGCTACAACATGTCTGCAGCAATGGTACAAAGCCATGGCATCCCAACCACCTCAAGTGAAACCAGCCCCGATGAAGCGAGGGCGACTTTCTGCACTTCATTCGCAAACACGGTGCTAGCTCTGTAGCCCCGACTTGGTCATCTCTAGCATGATGCTTCGTACTCCATCCGTCCCGCGCCGGCTCGACGTTTACGAGCCAGCTGTATTGTTCTGGTGGGAAGCACCCTTCCTGATTGGCTCAATTGTGAAACACCCACTTTATCCGGATGTCCACGACCTTCCAAAGTGCAATCTCAGCATGATACGTTTGACTCGTTTCATGTATTCGCCATACAATCGGCCGAATTAGAATATCTTCATGGGTTGCCACAGGAGAAAGCGTCAGGGGAGCATTCATCTTCACATTGGCTTTGTTGTGCTCAAGTGGTCTTTCAGTATGCGTCTGTCCCTGTCGTTGTCCATTATCTATGCTGCCGGTGCCGCCCAGGCGCTCAACTACGACCCGAAGCTAGTCGTGGGCGTGAGTGACCCGGCCCTGATCGCCAAGATTGAAGGGTACATGCCCCCCATCTGCTCGTCGCTTTACGGCGACTCCCAGCACTGGACCGACTGGAGCATCTGCTCGGCCAAGTGCGGCAAGGGCGAGCAAGTCCGCTTCCTCACCAACGACGCGGTCAAGAACCTCCAATCGAACGGATGCGAGATCTCGATCGACAAGCGCGAGTGCAGCGGGAACGAGTGCCCCCAGGATTGCCAGTACGAAGACTGGCCGGCGCAGTGGTCCACGTGCGACAAGTCGACGGGGATCCAAGTGCAATCGCGCCGGGAAATCACCCCCGTGAAGAACGGCGGCAAGACGTGCCCGGAACTGTGGGGACCCCCCACGCGCACCCGTGCGTGCGACGTCGACTGCGAAGGGTCGTACACCGAGTGGACGGAATGCCAAGGCAAGACGGGGTCGCGCAGCCGCTCGTTCATCAAGACCGTGCAAGCGCTCAACAACGGCAAGGCGTGCCCTGCGCCGGTTCAAACCGAGCGTTGCAACCCCGAGTGCCAGGCCATTGCGTGGACCGCATTCAGTGAATGCAACCCCCTCACGGGATTGCACACCCGCACGCGCGACATCCCCATGGACAGCAACTACGTCCAGCTCAAGTCGGCGCTCAAGGCGAACAACTGTCCGTTGGTCGACACCCAGCCGTGCGACTTGGACTGCAAAGTGAGCGACTGGAAGGACAATGGCACGTGCGACCTCGCGACCGGGTCGCGCAAGTTGTCCCGCACCGTCGTGCAAAAGGCGGTCAACTGCGGCAAGCCGTGCAACTCGCTCGACCACGACACGAACCTCGAGTCGACGGTGACGTGCCCTGTCCACTGCGAAGTCAGCGACTGGAGCGCATACTTTTGCGACAAGGTGTCTGGTGTCGCCACGTCGACACGCACGATCACCCGCCAGCCTCTCAACGGCGGAAACTCGTGCCCGGAACTCCAGCGCACCCAACACTGCGGCCCACCCGTGTGCGAAACTGGCGACTGGACGACGCAAGAGTGCTCGGCAGAGACGTGCACGGCTGTCCGCACCCGCGAGCAGCTGTACCCGATCCGCGACCAAGGCAAACCGTGCAGCCTGTACGAGAAGACGCCGTGCAAGCTGGACGCGGTGCTGTCCCCCTGGTCCGAGTGGAGCACGTGCGACGCCACGGGCCACAAGACCCGCACGCGCGAGATCATCTCCGGTGCGTGCAACGGCGGCGTCCCGGCTGGCCCCACCGTCGAAAAGACCACGGACGGGTGCGGCAACATCATTTGCAACTCGCTCAACAACCCGTGGCCGTCGGACGAGCAAGGTGACGTGTGGGGACCATGCGACCAAGTGACGGGGATCCAAACCCGCCAGCGCGCCATCATCCGCAAGCCGACGGATGGCACGGTGTGTGAGACTCAACAATCTCGCACGTGCGCCGTCAACTGCGCCGTGGACGCGTGGCAGCCTTGGTCCAAGTGCAATGAATGCACGGGGCTTCAAAACCGCACGCGCAACGTGATCCAGCCCGACCTGAACGGCGGCAACCAGTGCCCGGACACCAAGGAGGTGCGCAACTGCGCCGTCGTGTGCGAAGCCACCGAGTGGACGACGTGGTCCGAGCCCGACGAGGCGTGCACGTGCAAGCGTCAGCGCACGGAGCTCTCGCCCGCCTTAAACGGCGGCGAGTGCGTGTTGGAAGACACGGACCCGCACTGCCCGCGCAGCTGCGAAGTAAGCGACTGGAGCGCGCCTGGCGAGTGCGAGTTGTCCGGGCCGCACGCTGGTCTGCGTAAGTTCACGCGCACGGTGCTCAAGAGCCAATGCAATGCCGGCGCGGCATGCCCTGAACTCGTCAAGTGGGAGACATGCAACGTGGACTGCGAAGTCGGCGACTTTGGCGAGTGGACCAAGTGTGACCTCGAGAAGCAGCTCCAAGAACGCAGCCGCCCCGTGCTCCAGCAAGCGTACAACCAAGGCATCCAATGCCCCGCCACGACCGAAGTCCGTGCGTGCGGCACGTGCAGCGACCTCGTCGGCCCCTTCACGTACACGTCGTGCGACAAGGAAAAGGGCACGCGCTCGGGCCTCGCGTCGTGGATCGCCAAGCCCAAGCAAGGCCAGGAGTGCCACCTCCAAGTCACGGAACCGTGCGAAGTGTCGTGCGAGGTGTCGGAGTGGAACGCCGGCACGTGCAACGTGCACTCGGCCATGCAAGAGTTCACACGCCAAATCATGGTGAGCGCCAAGAACGGCGGCACGGCGTGCCCGCTGGCCGACGAACTCGTGCGCCACGAACCGTGCAAGGTCGACTGTGTGCCGTCCGACCAGTGGGGTCCCTGGACCACGTGCGACAGCAAAGGGTTCTCGTCCCGCAAGAAGATCGTGGACATCGTGGCCCAGAACGGCGGGTCCAACGCGGACTGTCTCGTCGAAGAAGTCAAGGTGTGCGCTGTGGACTGCGTCATCGACCCCGACTCGGGCGACGTCCTCCAGCCTGCGCTCAACGGCGGCAAGACGTGCAAGAAAGTCGCGGCAGAAAACAACCTCCCCGGCGACTACTCGGACCTCACAACCACGACCAACTTCATGGCGATGGTCAGCGCCAACAAGGAATACGCGATGGCGGCCTTGGCCACCGGCGGCGTCGGCCTCATGTTTGTTGCGGGTTTGATCTCGACGCGCCGCCAGCGCCGCGGTGGCTACGACTCGATCTCGCGCCAGATCCCCAACTAAACCCTGCTTCTGCTGTTGTTCCTAGTGTCGTCCTATAAGCTGCATTGAATATACATCTTGAGTGACCTACGTTTTGAGGCGCCTCTCCACCGACCTTCGGTCCACACCGACGGCAACCCATGCATTCATGTATTATTCATTCGGAATCGGAACTTATTGTTGCACCAACGCGGCAAGGACGAGAGTGACAACGCCAGCCGCCAGGCCAGAAGCAGAGGACTTGACGGTCGTCGTGGGAGCGGTAGTCGTGGT